ATGCAGAAGAGGCCCGACAGCTTCGTTAGGCGGGAAGAGCAGCTCTGGCCCGATTCTGGAGGGCCATCTAAAATCTTTCTCCCACCCCACGCTGTCCAAGGTGGCAAAGCCACGCTAACCTGTTCCTTTCAGGGCTTTGGCCCAAAGACAAGTCAGTTGCCTTCCCACAAAAAGCTCTTCCGTTACCGCTGGTATGTCAGGCCGGTTCAAAGGACAGAATCTTATGGGGAGCCTTTCAGAGACAGGGGAGGACAGCAAGATCCCAGAAAAGTTCCAGGCGGGTCCCAGGGGGTCCCAGGTGGGTTTCAGGGGGGTCCCAGGGTGGTCCCAGAGGCAGGGGTGTCAGAGTTTGGGGTTTCGGGTGATGCTTGAGCTCTCGGACTTGGCAATCCCGGGGGCAGCCTCTTATCCATTGCTCGTTGCTCAATTTAAACATTTTGCAGGGGCTCTCCACCGTCACTTTTCGTGTGAACTGCAACCCTAAACCCGAAGCCCTAGAAGCCCTAAACCCTAAACTCTAAACCCTCAACCCTAAACCCTAAGCCCCAAAGCCTCCAGCCCTACAGCTGAGCTGTGCCAGCAGGATATCCTGGATGGCCCGAGCCCGAGCGCATGCGATTGCACCAATGCAAGGAAGGCGAGAGCCTGCACGGCGCTCGGCACGTTACTTCTTCCTTTTTGGGGGGATCACTTCCGGTTTTGAAGCCCCACTGAGCAGAAGAAAAGGGTTCCCTTATCTTGCCTTAGTTGCTGGGGAAACGTTATAAACCCCACGAAGCAGAAGAAAAGGTTCCCTTATCTTGCCTAAGTTGCTGGGGAAACTCGTCCAAACCTTCCGCAGGCTACTTCCCTTACGAGCTGAAGGAGGAGTATCCGGACGGTGTCATGCTCAAGGCGGCTGCCTAAGCTAAGCAGACGGCCGACGCTGCAGCATCGGGTTTTAGCGGAGAAGGGACTTGAAGAACCTCATGGGTGGTCTGAAAATGCGGGCTGCACGTGTCTGCAGTCAGGATGTATGTGCAGTTAGCCTATACTCAACAGCCTCCCTATGAGTACCCATGCGCCTTTGAAGTAGCCGTGGCAAAGCCGAAGACTTGAACACTGAACCACAAGCCCTGAACCCTAAACCAGTTGCCCTGAACCCTAAGCTAGTAACCCTAAACCCTAAACTAGTAACCCTAAATCCCCTAAGCTGCAAGTCCGCAAATCGGAACCTCATCTTCCCCAATTGCTCTTTCACACTGGCACAATTTGGGCTCCCTGCGCAATCCGAGCATCAGAGCGCCTGTGGCAAGATTGGGGCAGATTCCAGGGCTTCTTTGCTTTGTTCAACCGATACAACTATGCTATAGCGGCTTGTCACCCGATTACTGGTACGTACAACGTAATAACCCCTACTTAGAACTACCCATAAACCTCCAAGTATACCCCTGAACTGCCACCCCGGCGTGGAGCAAGGTGGTGGATCGAGTGGCGCTGACGTACGCCGGCTGGCAGAAGGCGAGCGCGTGACACGCGAAGCCTCACTTCTCCTGGTTAAAAGCCTAAAAGGGATCCTTCTTCTCCTGGGTTTAGGGCTCCTTTTTTCACTCTTTCCCTCTTCGGTTCCCTTATACTCCGTTAAGCCCCCGATCCGCTACTCTCCTCCTGGGTTTACTTTGTGGTACTTTACTGTAACTTTAGATCCTTACCTTTTTTGGGTTTATTGGGTTTATTCTTAAGGCAGCTAAAAGTTTCATTTATAGCTACTCTCCTGAGTGCAGCCAAGTTTAGGGCTCCTTTCTTTCTCTCTCTTGCAGGGTTGCCTGGGAGCTTGGAACTTCACAGCATAAGCACGGCCCCAGCAAAGAGGCCCCCGGCATCAGCTGAGGTCTTACCCTAAACCCTAAACCCTAACCCCTAAACCCCAAACCCTAAACCCTAAGCCCTAAACCCTAAACCCTAAACCCTAAACCCTAAACCCTAAACCCCAAGAGTTCAGGATAGGGGGCGCAAGTCTGCATGCCGGCACAGGAGCATGCCACTACTGACCCAGCCTCCTGGTCGAATTATTCTTCGGGCTTGAGGTTTCATTCGTGATTCGTGATGTGTCTTTCTGGCCTCAACACCCTGAAGCCCAGTACGTAGGCGCCATGGATGTGATTTTTGGTCTTGAGGTTCAGGAGTGCGTGCGATTAGGTGCGCGAAAGTTCCGCGAAAGGAAGTTTGATTTTTGCGAAAGATACGTTTCCGGGACAAAGCGATTTTGATCAACTGCCATTTGCATATATCTGTATACATACATATAAAGAGGTGCGTGTGTGTATATATATATATATGTATATATATATATATGTATATATATATACACGGAATTCCCGAACATTCCTTGGTTGCTTGCAGCCCGTGGAAGCTCAGGATCTTGACGCGCGCGCGGACCGCTTGGCCATCGGGGGAAGGGCTTGCCGCCCAGTTCCGGTGTGGAGTTAGGGTTTAGGGTTTAGGGTTTGGGGTTTGGGGTTTAGGGTTTAGGGTTTAGGGTTTGGGGTTTGGGGTTTGGGGTTTGGGGTCTAGGGTTTAGGGTTTAGGGTTTGGGGTTTAGGGTTTGGGGTTTGGGGTCTAGGGTTTAGGGTTTAGGGCTGCGCCCTCTGTCTCAGAGGCGTTCCTCCGTAGAATGGTCATGTCGGCAGCTCAACCAAGGGCAGGTTGTTCGTGGGATTGCTGAATCTGGAGACAACGAGTCACAGTGGAGCACAGCAATATTTTTGTACCTGGGACTGTCAGGCAGAATTTGGTCGTGCCCGAAGAGCCCAATGCCCCTTAATTAAGGAATATACCTTAAACTATAAAGGCATCCTAAATGATTTAAGGTATATTCCTTAGTTAAGGGGTCTTGGGCTCTCTGGGTAGTCCGACCAGGCGCGCACAAGACTCAGACAACACGATTGCGTCGTCATGTAGCATTCCGCATGTTGTTGCACATCCTCGTGTACTCGTACCAACTACGGAACTGTCAAAGATCCCCCCCCCCCCCAACGACATGGATCAGAAAGGACCGTGCGGCGAACCCGAAGACGATCCAAGACAGATCCTCACGCAAATTGAGGTCCTGAATGCTCCTGCTGCAACCTCGTCAGAGAAGGTCTGCGGCTTTGAGCCCGAGTGCGTCAGATCATGACGGTCTCTGCCTGACTACCCTGCATATACCTAAGATAAGAGTCGTACGAGACTTAGGGTTAGGGTTTAGGGCTCGCGGACTCGTGACAAGCCAGAAGCCAAGACCCTGATCCCCTGAACCCTATACTGTACGCCTGGCCACCTCTATGAATCATAGAGCAGAATTGATTTGGGACCCTTCCTTGCATCCCTGCTACGGTATGGCTCCTGTCTTTGATTGAGGGTATCCGGTGCACTTCACGAGCATGCGCACGGAACCAAGGCAGGTGCAAGGAATGTGCCCGAAGGACTGTGGTGAGAGCACAATCTAAGGCCCACAAGCGACGATTGTTCTGCACTGTGCCAGGAGCATCGCGAGATGCAAATCCTTTACTGTAGGATCACTGTAGTCCGAGATGTGCACATGTATGCCCCTGCTACATCTTCACGACCCGAGCGACTGAAGTGCGAAAGAGCGTACTGGACCCGGGGCGCGAGCGCAACGAAGCTGGTGGCCGAGTCTGCACCGAGACGGTAGCTGAATTTTGACTCGAAACATCTAACCCTCCTAACGTGGGAACTCCATAGCATTTATAACAACTTTGGATAGTCTATACATAATACATGTACATATATATATATATATATATATATATAATAAGTTCCCAAATGGACCTAGACAGCTCTCTCACCAGCCTAAACACCCCTCAACCCTGGGCCCACATTGTGGAGCAACCCTGGAAGGCCCCTTGAGATTCTCTAAACCCCCTAAACCCCCTAAGCCCCCCTAAGCCCCCTAAACTCCCTAAACCCCCTAAGCCCCCTAACCCCCCTAAACCCCCTAAACCCCCTAACCCCAAACCCTAACCCCTAAACCCCAAACCCCAAACCCTAAAGCCTTAAACCCCCCCAAACCCTAAACCCCTAACCCCCTAAACCCTAACCCCCTAAACCCCCTAACCCCCCAAACCCCAAACTCCTAACCCCTAAACCCCAAGCCCCTAACCGCAAGCCCCAAGCCCCAAGCTCCCTTCCCCAGGTGCTGCTGCGCGCCGGGCAGATTTGCGAGGCTGGGCTTGGGCAGCCTCCCTCGACGCAGGGCTCAGGGCCCTTTAGGGCTTGGGGTTGGTGCAGGACTTCATACAAACAAATATGTATATATGCATGTATGCATGTATGCATGTATGCATGTATGCATGTATGCATGTATGCATGTATGCATGTATGCATGTATGTGTGCATGTATGTGTGTATGTGTTTATGTGTGAATGTACGGTACATATATATATATATATATATATATGTATGCATATGCGCAGGGCTTTCAGGTCGGAGCCCCGTGATCTCAAGCTGAAGCTGAAATGTCTGCGTAGGTCTGAGCAGCATGTCGCAGGGTTTCGTCAGTGCGCTTTGATCGGCCCTCCTTGCGCCCTGGGCATGGCTCGAAATAGCTGCTTAGAACTCCAGAATGTGGAGCATCGGCACTGGTGTGCCCATGATATGCACTTGCCACTATCGCCGCCAGTTGTCTAGGGGTAGCACCGGGGTAGCACCCTCGTACGCAGCCTGGATTCCAAGAACCCGCTGCCTGCAAACAATGCTTCGGCAGGCTCCGGTATCAGCACATCATCCCTTACCCTTGACAGCATGTAAAGACGGTTTAGGGTTTAGGGTTTAGGGTTTAGGGACAACAGGTTTACAGGTAACTGCTTCATCAGAAGTGCCAGTCTATATCGGATATTGCACGGATACAGTTGGCCAAGACGGTTCCCACAACGCGCTGCTCCTGCTAAGACTGGAACGGTAGGTCGACATAATATCAATCTCAAGCACAGATGGCTCAGCTTTGCTGATGGCAATGAACAATGAGGTGCGCAGGGTTTAGGGTTTAGAGTTTAGGGTTTAGGGTTTAGGGTTTTGCAACTTTCTCATGTGTCCTATCACTGGCGCTGATCGAAGACAGAAAGAACTTTTACATGCATCGTGCGGCGTAGCAATGATCCCGCGCCGCACTTCGTCATGGTTGCGTTCACAAGCCCATATCACCCTTGAGAAATATTTTTTATTTTTGTTTATATAAAACCGAAGAGGATATTAACATGTTGTTTTTATTAAGGTTCTTAGGGGAGAATAGAAGCCCCAGACTTACGTGGAGTGACCACGCCAGGAGGCTGTTGCGCGGCCTGCTCGTGGCGCACATCCTGCTGAGCGATGTCTTCAAAGCAGACGAGGAGGTGCCCTGAACCCCTAAACCCTAAACCCTAAACCCTAAACCCTAAACCCTAAGCCCTAAGCCCTAACCCCTAAACCCTAACCCTAAATCCTAAACCCTAAACCCTAAGCCCTAAACCCTAAACCCTAAACCCTAAACCCCCAACCCCCAACCCAGACAGGCTGAGAGTTGCTGCCCAACCCAGACAGCCTGAGAGTTGCTGCCTCGAGTCACCTGTACATATTGGTGAAGTTTAGGGGTTGGGCTCATAGGGTTTGGTCAGCACTTTGATGAACCTCAGGCCTCAGTTGGGATTTTCTCTAAGTTGGGGTCCCTTTGATTCTTACCCTAAACCCTAAACCCTAAACCCTAAACCCTTATGGCAAACATTCCGGCTGCCAAAGGTATGCAGAAGGGCACCCAAATTGAGAACCCAGGGTGCCAACAGGACCTTAACACGCAGCCCTCTATATCAAAGGACTAAAGGAGGGACCCTTCTAAGGGACCTTAGGCCAAACCCTAAATCCTAAACCCTAAACCGCCTAAACCCTAAACCCTCAACCCTAAACCCTAAACCCTAAACCCTAAACCCTAAACCCTAAACCCTAAACCCTAAACCTTAAGCCCTGTACCTTCAACCGGGATACACCCCAAAAGACGCGAAAGGAGGAAGAGAAAGATGCCTCCTCCGACGTGATGGAAGTCATGGCCCGGTCTCCCATCAGCTGGGGTTTAGGGTTTAGGGTTTAGGGTTTAGGGTCTAGGGTCTAGGGTTTAGGGTTTAGGGTTTAGGGTTTAGGGTTTAGGGTTTAGGGTTTAGGGTTTAGGTTTAGGTGCTCAGAGGCAGGGTTTCGGGGCTTGCGGATGGACGAAATTCTGGGTGTGCTGTGGGCCCCGGGGGTATTCTTGGTGTTGAGGCTTTGTATAGTAAGGGTTCAGTTCAGGGATAGGGCCCTTTAGGGAGTCTTGCTGAAGATACTGGCCAAACTTTAAACCCCGAAGCCCTAAAGCTTCAAATCCCCCTGAAGCTCCTAGGGCCTCCGCGAGACCCTCAACAACCATAATTAAACAACCCCCCCCCCCCCCCCCCTTCCAAACCCCGCGCCCCAAAACTCGAAAACCCGAAGCCAGAGACCCCACACCCTAAACCCTACAACCCTGCAACCCTATCTTTCATCCTACAACCCTAGAACCCTTTAACCCGATAACTTCTATAAACCTACAACCCTCTAACCGCAAACCCTTAAACTTAAAACCCTATAACCCTAAGCCCTATAACCCTAAACCCTAAACCCTAAACACCCTACAACCCTAAACCCTATAACCTTCTAACCCCATAACCCTAGAACCCCATAGCCCTGTAACCCTATGTCCCAAACCCTCAAGCCCTATAAACCTAAACCCCTAAACCCTTCACCCTTAAACCCTTAACCCTTAAACCCTAAGCCCTAAATCCTCAAACCCTATAACCCTAAAACCCTAAACGCTGCAACCCTACAACCCTTAGAACCTTAAACCCCCAAACCCTAAACCCTGACCCCTAAACCCTAAACCCTAAACCGCAAACCCTAAACCCCTAACCCCCCCCCCCCCCCCCCCCCCGCGCCCCTAAACCCTAAACCCTAAACCGCAAACCCTAAACCCCTAACCCCCCCCCCCCCCCCCCCCCCTCCCCCCGGCGCCCTCCTCCCCCTTCCCCCCCCGAAGTGCAGGCCTGGTGCAAAGGTGTCGTGCAAGGCCTCGACTGGCCGGCCGCCAGGAGCCCCAGGTTTTTTTTGAGGGGGCTTTGGGGGGGCTTTTGGGGGATTGAAGGGGGCCTTTGGGGGCTTTTTGGGGGCGGCTGTTGGGGGATTTGAGGGGGCTTTAAGGGGGACTTTTGGGGTTATGGAGTTTTGGGGGTTTTGGGGTGTTGGGCTTTTGGGGGGTTTTGGTTTTTTTGGAGGGATTTTCGGTGTCTTTGGGGGGTTTGGGGGGATTTGGGAAGTTTTCGGTAAGACCCAATTCCTACACCCTAAACCCCAAAACCCCAAGGCCTAAACCCTGAAGCCCGAAACCCCTAAACCCTAAACCCTAAACCTTAAACCCTAAACCCTAAACCCTAAACCCCAAACACCAACTGGGTGGCATGAGGTACTCCGCCTGGCGAAGACGGAGTGCAACATCGACGCAGGGCGCTGAGACCTCCTTAAACCCTATTGTAAGCCCTAAACCCCAAACCCTAAGCCCTAAACCCCAAACCCTAAACCCTAAACCCTAATACGCAGGCTGGGGATGACGAGCTGCTCCGTATCGGCGCCTCGGCAGAGCGACGCAGGATCTCCAGCTTGGGTATGTATAAGTAGGGTTGAAGGTTTGGGGTTTGGGGTTTAGGGTTTAGGGTTTAGGGTTTAGGGTTTAGGGTTAGGGATTCGACAGGGCTTAGGGGGTTTAAGGGTTTAGGGCTTTCTTCCCAAAGCCTGAAACTCTTCTTCCTTAAATGCTCAGCCCCAGCAGAGCCTAAACCGATTAAACCCCAGAAGCACCTCAGTACTGGAAGGAGTTAGAAGTAGAGTTATAAGTTACCTTAAATACCCTGGTATAGCTAGAGTTGCCCTACCTCTAGCCCCACGTATGAACTGCCCATGAACCTCCACGTAGCCCTAAACCCCTAAACCCCAAACCCTAAACCCCAAACCCCAAACCCCAAACCCCAAACCCTAAACCCTAAACCCTAAACCCTAAACCCTAAACCCCGCAAGGCTGCACGGACGTGGGACTCCTCTCCGCTTTGGACGGGCTCCGCGCAGTGCTGGAGATCTCCCAGCTGCAAAATCTTGCTGGGACCCTTTCGGAGGGAAGTCGCTGGGTTTAGGGTTTAGGGTTTAGGGTTTAGGGTTTCGGGTTTAGGGTTTAGGGCTATTGTTCCCTTGTCTGGGTTTCAGAGGATTGTTTTCAGGAACTCTTTTCAGAGGATTTTAAGGACCAACCTAGCTAGCGCTTGAGGATTTTTTGGGTTTCGGGGTCGACTAGGAGGCGGCACTCTCCCACCCTAAACCCTAAACCCTAAACCCTAAACCCTAAACCCTAAACCCTAAACCCTAAACCCTAAACCCTAAACCCTAAACCCTAAACCCTAAACCGTATTATTTCTTGGGGATTCTTAAGCAAATAGTAGATCAGCCAAAGGCACGGATGAAGTCAGCCACATGCCATGATCCAAAGTACCCCTCAAAGGGTTTAGGGTTTAGGGTTTAGGTTTTAGGGTTCAGGGTTTTTTTCGAGCAGAAGGTCTCCAGATTCTTGCTAGGGCTTGCCTGAGTCCCCAATTACCTGCTGCTGTCGATCGACCATGGGGACGATCCAGACTTGAGGGGCTTTGGGGCTTGGGATGCACAAAGCTGTCGATCGAGGTCTGTCCGAATGGTCAAGTCTTTCTTCTGGCGGCTGGGGCCTGAGACATCCAAGCGTGAGCCTCTGCAACTGAAACGGACAACCCTCGCAACCCTTAAGCCACCAGCCTCCAAGATCCCTAAACCCTAAACCCTAAACCCTAAACCCTAAACCCTAAACCCTAAACCCTAAACCCTAAACCCTAAAACGCAGAGATTCACAGCAAGAGCTCCGCGTGAGTTCGTGGTGGACAGGTAGGCAGGAACCCGGTGGCCCCTAAAACGGTGAAGCTCTAAGCCAACTAGCCCCTCTACTTGAACGTTCATGCATATACGTGAGTTTAGAAGTCGGGTGAAGGTATCTGTGGCGCTCATGTAGGTACATGCACTGTAATCCGACTTACAACTGCCTCTGAACCCAAGCCGCGCGCCCAAAAGCCAAGAATCGTATTCTCCAAAGCCCAAGCCCTGAATTCCGAACCCTAGAACGCAAGTGATCAGTTTCCCAGAGAGCCCAATACCCCTAATGTAAGGAATATACCTTAAATTATAGAGGGACCCTTATTCTGATTTAAGGAATATTCCTTAGTTAAGGGGTATTGGGCTCTTTGGGTTTCTCTAGATGTCGGTCATCTCGTTGCTTCTTATTGTGGGCCATTAATATAGGGGTCGGAATACTTTCCTTTCTTACATTGTTTGCCCGTATGGCCCCTATAATTTTATACGATAATCACCCCCCCCCCCCCAAAGCCCTATTCTCATTCTGAAGGCCCCTATAGTAGCGACCTTCATCCAAGGAACCAAGCCCTAAACCCCAAACCATAAACCCGAAACCCGAGGCCCTAAACCTAAAACCCTAAACCCGAAACCCTAAAGCCTAAACCCTAAACCCTAAACCCTAAACCCTAAACTCAAACCCTAAACCCTAAACCCTAAACCCTAAACCCTCAACCAGTAGAATTGACTCCAAGGTCTCCCTGGCTTATGCTCGGGAGCAGCTGACGCCGACAGAGGTTGCGAGAGCGCAGGCCATGTTTCGGCACCTGGCGATCAATGGTTTAGGGTTTAGGGTTCAGGGTTTAGGGTTTTGGGTTTTGGGTTTAGGGTTTAGGTTCCCTTCAGATCCTTTTCGAAGGGACTTCCCGTATCCATGGGCAGAGAGCCCCAGGAAGCAGAAGAGAGGTACGGTTCCAATTCTGAGTTGCTGAGGGCCCTAGGGTCCCCAAGTCGCGCCGAGTTCGGGCTCGCAACTTCCGGCGATGAAGAGGGTTGTCTTAAGTGGGTTATGATCTACACAAGTGTAGGATTATGGGGTTTTAGAGGGTTTGGTTCCTGGCAAAGCCTAAGCCCTAAACCCTAAACTCTACACCCTAACCCCAAACCCTAAACCCTAAACCGTAAACCCTAATCCCTAAGCCCTACTCGCTTTAGGCGGCCCCCAAGAATATATATATATATATATATATATATACACACATATATATATATATACTCTATAGGGTACATGGGACCTTGGGGAAGCGGGGGGGGGGGGGGGGGCTTGAGGCTTCCGCACTCCCTGGGCCATGTGGCGGTTCTCAGGATCATCAGGCTTAGGGTTTGGGGTTTGGGGTTTGGGGTTTAGGGTTTAGGGTTTAGGGTGTAGGGTTCAGCAGCGGTGCACATTTCGCCTCGCTCTGGGCTTAGGTTCCGCCAAGAATCATTTAGGGTTGTTAATTTGCACAGCTTAGCTATGCACTGAAGATCACTACAACTCTGAACCGCAGGGTCTCAACAGTGCAACATCATGAGTTCCATGCAGCACAGACCCTTTCCACTTGCTGCCTCATGCCCTCGAATGAAACTGGAGAGGGTGGGGGCTACCCATGGTGTCCGATGCATTTAACAATCCATAACTACGCTCCGCGAGGTGCTGTTGTGGCGGGCATTGCAGACCAACTTCATGTTGGATGCCAGCGTGCTCCCGCCCCATTTCTAGTCGGCGGACGCTTGCAGCATGAGGACATGTGCGGTCTTGTTTTCATTTGTTTTCAGCAGACGCTTCTTCAACGCTGCCTATGCCCTGTTCCGGCAACCGCGGAGCTCTGACTGATGTACTTACGTTAGCTTGACAGCTGTAGACGGACGACAGGTGTGGCCGGTCAAGACCCACGATGTGCCTGGCACAGATCTTCTGCGTGAAGTGATCCTGCTCGGGTCCAGTTGCCATGGAATCTGCAAGAGCCCCACGAAGCTTTCAACTACTCCTCGGCCTTGAGTCCCAAAGCCTGAACCTTAAACCCCAAGCTCCGAACCGAAACCCTACACCCTACACCCTACACCCTACACCCTACACCCTACACCCTAAACCCTAAACCCTAAACCCCAAACCCCAAACCCCAAACCCCAAACCCCAAACCCACACCGCCCAGGTGCTCTACATGTTCGACCAACTCCCTGCGCCCTTGCGGCTCGGGAGTCGGGCGCCTGAACAGTTTGGGCATGTTAGGGTTTGGGGTTCAGGGTTTATGGTTTAGGGTTAGGGTTTAGGGTTTAGGGTTTAGGGTTTAGGGTTTAGGGTTTAGGGTTTAGGGTTTAGGGTTTAGGGTTTAGGGTTTAGGGTTTAGGGTGTATTGCTTCCGCTGCTTCGGGGCACTTGCTTGGTAATTGGCGATCCAATGCAAAGCCCTCAGCATCCTTAAAACTCTAACCCCAAAACCCTACAGTATCTAAAAACCTAAACCCTAAACCCTAAACCCTGAACTCTAAACCCTAAACCCTAAACCCTAAACCCTAAACCCTAAACCCTAAACCCTAAACCCTAAACCCTAAACCCTAAACCCTAAACCCTAAACTCCAAGCCATCCGGCCTAAGAGGAAAAGGTGAAGCCCACAAAGCCCTGCCAAACCCCAGGGCTTCCTAAAACCATCCGAAGCCTAAGCTGCCCCAACCCATCCTGAGCCTCTCCCTAAACCCTAAACCCTAAACCCTAAACCCTAAACCCTAAACCCTAAACCCTAAACCCTAAACCCTAAAGTCTTGTAAGCCTTGAGGATGCCCTAAACCTCCCGAAAGGGTTCAGGGTTCAGGGGTTTAGGGTTTAGGGTTTAGGGTTTAGGGTTTAGGGTTTAGGGTTTAGGGTTTAGGGTTTAGGGTCTAGGGAGGCCAAGCCCGAAGCCCTGGAGTCAGGCCGTGCAGCAAGCTCTCTCGATGCTTCGGTGGGGGGCTTGGAATGGGTTCGGGGGCAATCCTCTAAGGGTAGTAGTTACATGGCCCCTTATAGTATGGATCCTTAACGACCCTAAACCCGAAACCCGAAACCCTAAACCCTAAACCCTAAACCCTAAACCCTAAACCCTAAACCCTGAACCCTAAACCCTAAACCCTAACCCCTTCTGTACCCCATTACGCGCCCACCGCCGGTCTCCGCGCGTTTCAGCTCCAGACTCCAGATGCGAGCACCTCCCTCACGACCTCATCGCCGGTTTCTGCTGCGGGTTTAGGGTTTAGGGTTTAGGGTTTAGGGTTTAGGGTTTAGGTTTATGGTTTAGGGTTTAGGGTTTGCCTACCACTGGAGCTGTCATTCCCTGCCCCCCATTCATTAGCAGAGGGGTCCCTTTGTAAGGTTGCTCGGGGCTTAGTCTCATGTGGGGGTTTCCGGTCCTTATTATACGGGGATCCTACTATTCGGGGATCTATATTGGGTGGTCAGCGGTAGGGGTTCTGTTTGAATTCCATCTTGCTAAGCCTTGCTGCCTCGCCAGCGTATGCAAGACGAGGTAGTACCTATAAGTACCTGAAGAACCCAAAGCCTGCGTTTTTTTTGTAGGTTATTGCACAAACGGGTAGAACTACAAAAAAGTTGGTGTTGAAGGTTGGGTACAAGGCAGTGTGGCTACAGCTACCCTATCTTGTAGGGTTCTTAAGGGAGGGGGGTTCAAGAGGGGTAGGTACCTAGGGAACCTTAGGGAAGCTTAAGGAGCCTTAGGAGTAGGTGGGAGTATTAGGGAACCTTGGGTTACCTACCCTCCTTGAGTCCCCCTCCCTCAAGAACCCTAAACCCTAAACCCTAAACCCTAAACCCTAAACCCTTTAACTATCCTAGGGTCTCTTTATGAACCCTTTTTAGGTCACGCTCGTGGTGCCGCGCTGTCCGCCCGAGCTGGTACCCATTCTGAAAGAGCGCCCGGGGACTTGGCCAGGACTTTTGAGGGTTTAGGGTTTAGGGTTTCGGGTTTAGGGTTGAGGGTAGCGTTTGGGTGGGTTCGGGGTTTTCGGACTTCGAATGCCCGACCCCAGCATCCAAGGGAGCCAAACCCCTAAAACCCTAACCCAAAACCCAAAACCCTAAACCCTAAACCCTACACCCTAAACCCGAGACGATTCCTGAAGCCCAGCACGCCCAGGTTTCCCAGGCTTCCGGGCGACGGTTGGCGTCCTTGGCAAGGCCGGGGCTACCACTAGGGTTTATAGGGTTTAGGGTTTTTTTCAGTTTAGGGTCTATCAGGGTTTCTGAGGTTTAAGCAGGGGCAGGGTCGTGTTTGGACGGAAAAATCAAAAAAGTAGAATAATTCATGTTCCTGTTGTTTTTTATATACACGTTTTCTGTTTTGTGTTTCTTTGGGTGAACGTTATGAGTTTTGAGGGTGCCGGGGGGGGGGGAGTGCTTCGGTAGGCGCACGGTGTAGGGAAGGAGACGCTCTCTCAGCCGTGGTGGTGTGCAGAAGCCCCAGCCACGCAACCCTAAACCCTAAACCCTAAACCCTAAACCCTAAACCCTAAACCCTAAACCCTAAACCCTAAACCCTAAACCCTAAACCCTAAACCCTAACCTAAACCCTAAACCCTAAACCCTAAACCCTAAACCCTAAACCCTAAACCCTAAACCCTAAACCCTAAACCCTAAACCCTAAACCCTAAACCCAGAACCAGAAACCCTAAGCCCTATACCCTAAACCCTAAACCCTAAACCCCAAACCCCAAACCCTAAGAAGGCGGACGAGTCTGCGAAGCTTCTCCCGGAGAGCTGGCAAGGCTTTGAGTCCGCAGCTGCCTGGGCCTCGCAGGGGTCGTAGGCAGAAGTTCTGCGCTGGTTTTGGGGTTTAGGGTTTAGGGTTTAGGGTTTAGGGTTGAGGGTTTAGGGTTTAGGGTTTATAGGGTTTAGGGTTTAGGGAGATTTTGCACCTTACAGTACACTCCAAGAAGTTGCAACATCCTTGTCCCCATGCCGTGAAAGGTATACAAAAGAGAAGCCCAGCTCCAATCATCCTTAAACCATGTTCCAACTTTCTGGGGTTTCCTGTATGCCCACAGGCCCTGAACCCCCAAGGCCGCAAGCATCGTCCAGGTTTGGTGTTTTAGGGTGTTTCGCAGGGCTACGGGCATGCATTCTAGAGGAATGCCCAAGTAGGTGCAGTGGTAGTGGCAGCTTTTTGAGGTTATGTAAACGTATGCACCACATTCGGCCGCCCTACCAACGACGCTCAGATACCCAAGCTTCGTCCCGAAGTGAGGGTAATGACAAGTGGGGGCTTACGAAATTGTGGACCCCGAATATAAACCCCCGAATAGTTACCCCGAATGTCTGAAACCACCAAGTCCCAAGCCCATCACCCGGCTGTGACAGGAGATGCCGACGGGGCCAGCTGCTCAGGGTTGTGCCAGCATCAGCTGAGGGTCTACTTGCAGGTTTAGGGTTTCGGGTTTAGGTTTTAGGGTTTAGGGTTTACTTACAAGTAGAAAGGTATCTCTTAAGGCCAACCCACAAAAGACTTCCACAGGCCCAAGTGCCTATCATCGCAGATTCCCAAAGCCCATCACGCGGCAGGTTTTGGACCTTGGAGGCGTTTGAGGTTCATCTGAGAATCTGGTGACTTCTACACGCTGTTGTCAATGAGAGGCTAGGGTGAGCCTGCCACCCGGAACGTACTTCGAGGATCCTCCCAGAGACTCCAAAACTTCTTAAAATCATATTTGGGTTCTAATTTAAGGGATATTCCTTGGGGTTTCGGAGTGTCAAGCGGGTGTTGGTGTTTGGTTGAAGAGCATTGAACATGCTTCGAGTTCTCCAAAGACACCCTGCGCTTTTGGGCGTGTGCATCCTGCCCGGCCTTTTGAGATTTTTGGCCCAAGTGGTTTTTGACTGTCTTGTGCCGTGGCCGTTTGTTGGTTGACGCAGGCGGGTGGGTGGGGTGTCCGGGGGTGGAATTCCCACTAGCTCTGCCTTCAACCCTGCCGTGAGCCCTAGACCCTAAACCCGAACCGAAACCATTTCCCAGGACCCAGAGTAGGCCCTTCCTGTTCAGCACATTTTTTGTAGGGTTCTTGTTTTTCTTGGCTGCCCCGGCGCCCGCCGCCGGCTCCCGCCTGCCCACGCCATCCGCCTGTTTTCTGCCTCTATGGGGGCTGGGTTTACAGGCGGGGCGAACCCCGCTCGAAACCTCGCTGGGGGACGGGGGCCTGGAAATTCGTTCTTGAAGTACGGAAGACGCCTCTCGTTCCCAATATTTGCTGAAGAACCCCCCAAAAATTGGAAAATAATAGTCCCTATATTACCCTTACAAGGAAGAACATTTTTTATTTTTTGGGGGCGGTTCTTAAGCCACTGGTAGGTTCTTGGTAGCACAAATTGCCTACGCCAAAATGCCTCTCGGACGCCTTGCTCCCGGAGATCTGGACCCGGAAGCTCGTGTTTTCGTAGTCTTGGTGGCCCGGCGGTGCCCTCTACCCATGGGCTTCTAGGTTCCCTTATGAAGTAACCAACCCCAAAAAGGCCCTCATTATGATGTGGTTGCTGGGGTACCAAGTATAATCGTACAAATTAAGGACGTGAAAAAGCCTCTCGGAGGCCTCTGTCCGCGAAAGGCCTGTCGGAGGCCTGCTACCGCAAACATCGTGGGAGCTCTCGAACTTCGAAAACACCGCAAGTATTGTGGGATCGGGAGGATGCACCTTTCGAAGGTACCGCAAATATCGTGGGATGAGATTTTTTGGGGCTTCAAAAGCATCGCAAATGTCGTGGGATCGGGAGTCTGGCGCTTCGAATGTACAGCAGGCACGCAGGCAGGCACGCAAGCACGCCCGCACGCCCGCATGCCCGCTCTCCCGCCCGCCCAAACGCATGCACGCAGCCGACACACAGACACACAGACATTTTAGGGACAGTTTCAGCACTTTGGGCACCGGCCGATACCCGAAACACAGAAGAACAATTGAGGAAACCTGGGTTTGGTATAGAATTACAAAACACATGTGTATATGTATGTATATATATACACATACATATACAATGTTTATACTTGTATTATGTTCGATGTGATTTTATAGGGCATATATGTATATCTGTGTTACATGACATGTATATACGGCGTTACGTACTATATACATACATACATGCATACATACATACATACATACACACACATACATACATACATACATGCCCTAAACTTAAACCCTAAACGCCCTAAACCCTAAACCCTAATCCGAGCATCTGTTTAATTGGGGGCCCCCCCCCCCCCCACAATAAGGAATGCAGGGTTCCGCAATAGTGGGACCATGGCCCTGTATTGATTCTCTATTCAAAACAATAAGAATGTATTTGAAAACAAACTTTCCTGCAGAAGCAAAAAAAGCTTTCCGAAAGGCTGAGTTTCAAAATTTTGCAACCCCCCCAAAAAAATTCCTTTAAATGTGGGGGGTTAGTCCCATACGAAATCCACCCTAATGGAAAGTAGTCTTCCGGCGGGCTTCCGGCCAAAAAAAAGATTCTTTAAATGTGGGGGGTATTAATTAAACAGATGCTCGGATTAAACCCTAAACCCTAAACCCTAAACCCTAAACCCTAAACCCTAAACCCTAAACCCTAAACCCTAAACCCTAAACCCTAAACCCTAAACCCTAAACCCTAAACCCTAGACCCTAGACCCTAGACCCTAAACCCTAAACCCTAAACCATACATACATACATACATCTTATAAGACTGAATCAGAAATCCAGACCCGGCAGGCTCTCCGGCCTGTTCAGGGCCCTCTGGCATCAGAAGAGTCTTTTTTTGCTTTGGCTTCCAGGCAGGGCCGTGCTTTTTGTTTAGGGTTTAGGGTTTAGGGTTTAGGGTTTAGGGTTTAGGGTTTAGGGTTTAGGGTAGTTTGAGGGGGATTTTTGACGTTTTTTTTGGAATGTTTCCAAGATTTGGGGTTTAGGGGTCTTGGGATTTGGGCATTTTCGGGTTTGTGCCGGGTCAACATGGTTTTGACGTGTTTTAGGAGCATCTCGAGTTGGGTCAATAAAGTTCCTGGGGGTGGTAGTTTGGGGTCTGGGGTCTCAGGCTACCCTAGTCAGAGGCATGACTGTTAAGCACCCCTAAACCCCAAACCCCAAACCCCAAACCCTAAACCCGAAACCCGAAACCCTAAACCCGAAACCCGAAACCCGAAACCCTAAACCCTAAACCTTAACCCTTAACCCTAAACCCTAAACCCGAAACCCTAAACCCTAATCCCCCAAACCCCAAAAAACCTAAATTCAACCCCAATCCCCACAGCCTTCGAGATCGCCTCGTAATTAGGGTTTAGGGTTTAGGGTTTAGGGTCTAAGGGTTTAGGGGGGGGGGGGGGGGGGCGGGGGGGGGCGGTTGGGGCAGAGTATCATCAGTAGGGTTTCAGGTAGGCGAGCTCGAGTTTATGACGCCCATGTAGGTTTTAGGTTTTAGGGTTTAGGGTTTGGGGGTTTGGGGGTTTGGGGTTTGGGGTTTAAGCAGGGTTGCTATAGCTCCTGCCTATATTAAGCAGTCTTCTTCGCCCTGCTGATAACTACCCACGGACCTTCAAGCAGGGTTTATAGGGCATGATCTGACTACGTAGTTTCCGGCGTGCCGCTGTGACGCAGGTTTCCATGCCAGCTGCTATGGCTCGCCATCACGACCAAATTTTAGGCACTTGGGCCGTATCGTCCGGGATGCCTTCGTGGTACTCGTACCACCAAAATATCCCGGTATCCTTCGTTCCCTGGGTTGAGGTTTGAACCCCCCCCCCCCCCAAAAAAAAAAAAAAAAAAAAACCAAAACCAAAGCCACAAAGGTGCACCGCCGGAAGATCTGAAACTGACGGCAGCGTGGCAGCAGAGCTTGTTCCTGTAGGGGCTTGTGCGTTTTGGGGTCTTGTTTTGGGGTTTCTAGGTTTCACTGCCGAAGAAGAGGTGGTGCCCAAGAACTCGTGCCTAGCAGATTATCCACAGCCCCACTGCTACCACGAACTCAGGTCCGAAATACATTCATTGACGTTGCTCGGCTGCAAGCGAACCGCCGAGTCAAAAACGACGCGGACCCGGCAGACCTGCTGCCATAGCTGTTTCCTGATGAGCTGAAAGTGGAGCCGCCACAACAACCGATTTAGGGATTAGAGCCTGCGCAGGTGGTAGTGCAGGATGAAGACGACGAGCCGCTATTCCGCAGTTCCTCAGATCCTTCGGGGGGTCAGCGCCCGCCGCCTGCAAGCAGCAGGGCTTCTTTCCGAGCACCACCCTGAGCACCCTGACCACCCTGAGCACCCTAGGCAACCCCGACTGTCAAATCGATTCCTCCCCAAGGAGCCCAAGATCCCCCCTAGTTAAGGAGTATACCTTTATAACTCATGTTAAGCATCCCTATATCAATGTACGGTACATTCCTTCATTCAGGGGGTTTTTCACCCAAGAGCCATATGAGCCCACGTGCTTTGCGGCTCAGGCCCTTGGCAGCTGTGCTCGTGAGATGCAGGGTTTAGGGTTTAGGGTTCAGGGTTTAGGGTTTAGGGTTTAGGGTTCAGGGTTCAGGGTTTAGGGTTCAGGGTTTAGGGTTTAGGGTGGCTTCTTAAACTCGGCGCTCTAACCTCCCCCCCCCCCCCCCCCTCCCAAACATCCTGAAGCTCCAAAACTCCCAAGCCCAAGCTGCAAAATTTACCCTAACCCCCCCCCCCCCCTCTCCCCCAACCCTAAACCCTACGCCCCCAACTCTGAAAACCCACACCCCCAATGCCTACTTGGAGGTTCATGGGTAGTTGTAAGTAGGGTTATAAGTAGGAGAACTATAGTTATAACCTTAGTTCGGGGCGCTTATAAACCCTACTTAGAACTCAACATGAACCCGTAAACCTCCGAAAAACGGGGTAAGGCCTTATAGCCCCTAAACCCTAAACCCCAAACCCCTAAACCCCCCTAAACCCCCCGAAACGCGGGGTGAGGCCAGATGCAGCTCAAGAAGGAGGCTGCTCCCCTCATGCCAAGGCCAGGGGTCCTCCTCCGGTTGAGGAGTTTAGGGTTTAGGATCAGGGTTTAGGGATTCGAAGATATTGGGAGATATTCGACTATTAGCAAGTTGTTGGGAGTAAGTAGGGTTGTTGGCAATTCTTAGGGGCTCTTCGGTTGTGGGAAATTCTTGTGGTTTTTGGAATTGGAAGTGGGGGTAATTGGAGTTATCAGGGTTGTTCGAAGTGTCTTATTAGAAGCAAATCTGGTTACTAGAAGTCATTAGAAGCTGTTGGGGTTACTAGAAGTTCTAGTCGGGTTGTTCGGGTGATTAGAAGCCACTGGGATGTGGTGCAAGTTCAGCAGCGCAGCCGAGATTTGTAGCATGTACAGGGGTAGACCGACTGTTTCTGCTCATTAAGCTTTGCAAATTTTTATTTATTCATTTTTTCCCGCGGGGGGGGGGGGGGGGGGGGGGGGGGGGGGGGGTTTGGGTGGGCCATATGTGGATGTTGTGCTTCGGGATTGCTGAGGTTGGAGACCACGGAGGAAGCGTCGCAGGAGGAGCCAAGCATCGTGATTTCATCCCCGTGAAGCCCTTGTACTAACAGCTCTTTAATGGGGATGAGGATAGGGGGTACTATCATCCCTATTAAGGACTGTTAGTATAAGGGGGATTATCCCAACACAAACCCTCTAAAACCATCCTTCGCAGGAGGAGCAATCTTCAGATTGCCGATTGGCTACCTGGGATCCAGACACTGACAGGAGAAGTGCTGTACTGTTTAGGGTTTAGGGTTTAGGGTTTAGGGTTTAGGGTTTAGGGTTTAGGGTTTAGGGTTTAGGGGTTAGGGCTTAGGGTTTAGGGTTTAGGGTTTAGCTCCCCAACCCTGAATGCTAATCCCGGAACCCTAAAGCCAATGCCCTTTGAAGCACCATAGAGCTGCAGGTTTAGGGTTTAGGGTTGAGGGTTGAGGGTTGAGGGTTTAGGGTCTAGGCCTTCCCCATAGTTTGGTTGGGCTCTCTCCTGCATCCCACCCAGCAAAAAAGCGAGTTCTGTATTCTTCTCCTATTCTGGGGAAGCTCCTTGAAGGTTCGTGTTAGGGTTTAGGGTTGAGGGTTGAGGGTTGAGGGTTGAGGGTTGAGGGTTGAGGGTTGAGGGTTGAGGGTTGAGGGTTGAGGGTTGAGGGTTTGGGGTATGGGTAGTTGTAAGAAGGGTTGGGTACCCTAAGTAGGGCTATAGCAAGAGTTACCATACTTATATATCCACGTAGAACTACCCAAATGAACCTCCAAGTAGCCCTAAACCCTAAACCCTAAGAGCCCTCAACCCTCCGTCTCTGGTGGCAGGATGCCATCCGCCCAGCACGTCGCAGTTGAAGTCGGGCGCCATAGCTTCTGTGGGGTTTAGGGTTTGGGGTTTAGGGTTTCGGGCTTAGGATTCAGGATTTAGGGTTGAGGGCTTGGGGTCTCGGGTTTGGCTTCCTGCCCTCCTGCTTACTGAGGGCCGTAGAATATGACTTGGATCCCCCTGCTTGAAAGTTCCCGGGCAGGGTGCATGTCTCAAGGTTAGTTGCTTGTTTCATGCGACTTATCCTAGTCCCTAAACCCTCAACCCTACACCCTAGACCCTGTATACTCTCGGCTCTAGACCCCTAGACTCTAAATCCTGACTATAAGTACCCCTGAGCTGTCAAGCAACAAATCAAGGCTTCTGCAAGTCCGACGACGACGGCATCAGACCCCGCGCCAGCCTGAGAAAGCGGTTAGGGTTCAGACTTCCCTCCCCGAGTGCAAAACTCCCACCTCATTTTTGGGCTTGGGTAAGCTTGCAGCTTCCCAGAACTTCTGACAGCGGAGCATCCATACATTCGATGGCAGTTCCGGGCTTTAGGGTTTAGGGTGCTGGGACAACCCCCAGCACCCTCATTCTTCTGGGCTCACTTCTCAACGCCCCACACCGAGCACAGAGCCCGTCATCCTGCATCTCGAAAACGCTGCCAGAAGATGTCCCCCGCTTGCGCAGCAGCAGGGCATGGATCTCTAAGAAAAGCCTCACAAGGCCCTCAAGATGTCCCGGGAGCCCAGCGGAAGACACATAAGACACCTCCTCTTCGCAAAGCAACGCGCCCGCTTGGTGTTTCGCGAGCCCTTGGGCGATTCGAGTTGAGTTTTGTTGGTGGAGTCGAGTTCGCGCCAGCAAGCACCTCTACCTTCTTCAGGGAAGGACATGGCGTTTGGAAGGCTGTAAGGGTAGCTTAGAAGGCTTCGAACCCCTATTCGTAGAGGGGGCTTGTACGTCTTAGGGGCTCTAAGCGGGCACGATGCCAGCTGCGACCGACCGAATGCACGTCTCACGCAACATGGCTGTTACTCACATCAGGTTCCAGGAAGCATGATTTCTGCTCTGCGTGTCAGACGTTGTTGGAGGGTGGTGTCTTGCCAACAAGTCCAAATGTCGCGGGTGTGCAAGCCCACATGTTTGAGAAGTCGGCAAAGAAAGAAAGGTCAGCTCCTTGAAATTCATACCCTTGCTTGAAAGGAAGTTGCAAATGTGCACAGGCCAATTCTTGTCGTGCTCCTTCCTACTGTCAAAGCTACGCGCCGCAAACCGCAGGCGCCAAGCTCCGACGATGGTGCGCTGTTCAGAACGACCGCCGTATGCCCAAAGCTTTCGGAAGCCCTGGGCAATATCGATCACGCAAGGAACTGAGATGCAGGTTTCGCATATGCAGCGCTTCAGAGTGTGTAGGGTGCAGAGTGGTTCCTGTCACACGTGTCTACAGACTACGAAAAATCTCAGGCTCGGACCGCGCCCGCACTGCTTGCTCCTCAGTGACATGTCGTTGCACCTCTCCAATCAATAATGTGTTAACATAATAGTATAGCATTACAGCAAGAAGGTAATAGAATACCAGAATATTGTACTATTTGGGTATACAATAAGATAACCATAGACACCATAGGAATTTCCACAGATCGCATGCACAGTGACGTGACCACAGGACCTCGACGATGCCTGCTGTGCTGCCGGCACCCTTGCCACAGACACTGCCAGCAGGCGTATTGCGTCTTCGCGGTGACCGCGCTTGATGTTAGGGTTCAGGGTTTGGGGTTCAGCGTTTAGGGGTTTAGGTTTTGGGGCTTTAGGCTTTAGGGTTTAGGGTTTAGGGTTTAGGGTTTAGGGTTTAGGGTTTAGGGTATGAGCGTGCACTTTTGGCCACTTGCTGTGGGGCGCTGAAACCCCCAAACCCCTGAAAGCTTGGCTTGGGAGGTCCCTTCGGCTACCTGACGAATCCCATGTTCACCCTGCCAACGCCAATTCTGATGCCGGCGAACATGTGTCTTCCTTACCTGTGACCCAGAGACTCCAAAACCCCTTAATTAAGGAATATCCCTTCAATCCTAAACCCTAAACCCTAATATGATTAAGGAATACCCTTTAAATCCTAAACCCTAAACCCTAATATGATTAAGGGATATCCCTTAACTCCTAAACCCTAAACCCTAATATGATTTCAGGTATATTCCCTAAGTAAGAGGTTTTGGAGTCTCTGGGGAGATGCTGTCCATGCTTCGTGGCATCTGCGGAGCCACCAACACCTAAGGTGCGGTTTCTCGTCAACCGCACCATTTCAAGTTCAAGGTCATGCGGCCGCAGCCGCTTGTCCACGGTTTAGGGTTTAGGGTTTAGGGTTTAGGGTTTAGGGTTTAGGGTTTAGGGTTTAGGGTTTAGGGTTTAGGGTTTAGGGTTGCAGACCTAAAGCCGATCCCGAAAGAAAAGTTCACCACCTGGAAGCCCAAACCCTGCAGTCAGCGGAGAGCAGCGCAAGGAAACCATAGGAAACCCTTCCTCCAGAAAAAAGCACCCTAAACCCTAAACCCTAAACCACAAACCCTAAACCCTAAACCTTAAACCCTAAACCCACTCAGAAGCAGCTCCAGAGGCAGCCGCAGGCCATTCGCCTGTCTTTGATGAAGCAGAAGCTGAACACAAGCACCTCGTCTGTCATGTTGGGTTCAACCTCAGCATCATTTAGGGTTTAGGGTTTAGGCTTTAGGCTTTGGGGTTTAGGATGGGTGGTTTCCTAAATGACGGTCCCTTTTTGGGTGCCCATTCTGGGACCACAATCTAGGAACTACCCATGTGACACGGAGCTCGAACGTACTGAGCAGATGCTACTCGGATCCTCTACCCTCCTTTGTGACTTGCTTGCGCCAAGGGGTGCCGCTTGGAGCAAGGCAGGGTGGTCGCGCACAGCGAGAGGGAGAGAGGGAGGGAGAGAGGGAGAGTTGGAGAGAGGAAGAGGGAGAGAGGGAGAGAGGGAGAGAGGGAGAGAGGGAGAGAGGGAGAGCGGGAGAGAG